TTCCTTCAGGGGCTGCGCTCCCCTCAGGGAGGGGGAGGTTTGCCCAGGCCCTTCTTCCCGCCTTTCGCTGAGGGGCCGCGTGAGGCGCAGTAAGCGGGGGGTTGCAAACGGGGCTCGCTGGTACCCGAGCGGGGGGATGTTTGCTCGTTCGGAAACGCCTGAGGGACCCCGTGGGAAGGCAGCTGGTGTATTTGAAGAGGGGAAAACGTTTCAGGTGCGAAAGTCTTTATTTTCGCCTGGAACTCCTGTTTAGGAAGGCGACAGGATGTCGTTGCCGGGGCACTAACGAAAAAACGGTTTGCGCCGTTGCCGAAGATGGTATGCAAAAAACAGTGTTGCAAAGCTGATTAAAAGCTAACAACTTTGAATGTAATTTTGTACTCAACCGTGTATGCAAGGTACACGTTAAGAGCCTGGCCGGTGCACCTGCCTGCCTGCTCAGCTTTGCCCCAGCTCTGCCAGCCTGTGTAGCAGCTTTGTTTGCTTTCAGAACACGAACTCTAGATCAGCATTTGCCACTTAAGTAGGAAGGCCACCAGTCGTTTTCAAATGCAGGAGTTACAGGTCTTTTGTTTAATCCAGGCAAAATTGTAATTTCTATTCCCACGTTGAGTTTATTTATGCCAGCAGAAGTCCCGTGCTGTGAGTGTCACTTAGGTACAACGTTCGCTTTGTTGTAGGTGACTGGTGTGATGTGTTTCTAACCTCCATTGATTTCTGAGGTGGCACGAAATTAACTGATTCATTAAAGTGGTGTTGAATCTTACAGCAACCTCTAACAAAATGTTCCGTGGTGAATTTGTTTTGAAAAGCCCTCAGTGACAGGAGATGCATAATCTGCTGATGTAAATCCATTTCATGATGATTTTTATAGTGAGTTTTTTTCCTAATATATTCTGTGCTGCAAATTATGCCAGGGTATCCTTGGTGGGTATAAAGATACTCCAGTTTTGTCTTTTATGTGCCAAAGAACTTGGATATTATAACTTCGCCCTTTCCTCTCTTCACAATTTTTTACACTAAACAAATTTTGTTCTATTATTTTTTTCCTACTGTTTTTAAAGTTTAGATTTTTCTCCATTCTGCCTGTACTTTTCTCTAAATGTGGTGTTGAGTCTGTATGTTTTTTGCCAACTGCTGTGTTTCACTGCTGCTGAACAGAGCAAAACACTTGTTTCTTGTGTCTTAAATCTTCAGAGTGCCAAGTTTGCATCCTTTTTTTTCCAGCTGTACCTCACTGCACTCTTACTCTCACTCTCTAACTGCAACCCACTGTTAACTTGCAGATTCTTTTTCCAGTGTTTTGGTGGTCTGGTTAGTTTTTTTCCCTTGTATTTGAATTTGTTTTCTTGATCATCATTGTACTACTTTGCATCTGTCTTTGTAGAATTTCCAGATCATCATTTTGAGTTCTGCTTCTGTGTCCTAAACTGCTTGCAATCTTTCCCACCTTAGTTATCAGCCCAGATTCTGAAAGTGTGCTTTCTCAGTTTCACTGTCAGTGTAATAAGGAAAAAATGAAATAAACCTAGGTGCATGGTAGATCCTTGTGGAATCCCGTTTGACTCGCAATCTGCCAGAGAAGTATTCCTAATTACTACTTCATGTGGTAGTTGTAACCACTCTTCAGTTTAGGCCATAATTCCCTATTCAGCTTGTCAGGCTCTCAGGTGATTTAAATTAAAAGCCCAGTCAAAGCCCAGTTTGTCATATCTGTGGCTTCTCCCTTGCTTATTGTGTCAGAAAAAGATTTGTTCTTGACAAAAATTTGTTCTTGGCAGATTCACATTATCTACTTTTTATTATTATATTATTTTCTTAAATGCTCAACAACTAACTGCTTAATAACTTGTTCCCTTATCTTCCCAAAGTCTGCAGTTGGGTTGACTGTCTCTCTTGCCTTTCTCCAGTGCCCTGGGACCTCTCTCTCTTGGTTTTCTCTGGCCTTTCAAGTGTTACAGAGTCCTGCTTGTTTCTTTTATACTTACAAAGCCACCAATTCCACCACCTATGTGCCTTTCCTCCTGCCAGTTTCCTAAAATACATAGTTTGTTAGCTGGAAGATGATGAGAAAATAGATGTTTCAGGAATGTGTGGTGCCCAGTTAGGTGTGGACACAGCATCTTGGCAAAGGGGTAAGTTATCTGACTGTTGGACGCTGTGACTTTACACACCTGATCCATCTCAAAACATTTTCAAAACATTTTATCTCAGGAATTATGAATCAAAACCAAAAAGACTGTTTCTGCAGATTCAAATATTGACCTACAAGCTGGATTTTAGCCTTAGGAACCTATTTGTATTCTGAAAGTAATGAATTTTCTGCTAGAAAGCTTGGCCAGCCTTTAGTACATTGTTGCTTCCAGTCAGTTGTCTAGATTGCATTAGTTTTAATGTATACACCTACTCAGAAAAAAAAACCTGTTAGGAGTCATATCATGGCCACAGAAAGAAAACTGTAATAACTTCAGTGTAATACCTTTTAGTGGAGTCAGTTTGGAGAGGATTTGTGTTGAACCTGTACTTCAATCATAGGGAAGCAGTTGTGTGTATTGTAAAGCTGGGCACGTAACTGTGGTGGAAGCTAAGGTGAGGGGAGAAATGTTCTGAAATATCCTGTAGTTATTTGTGTTTCTATGACAGCAGATTTGTCTTAAAGGTCTGCAAATCATTGGAAAACAGTCTTCATTGTTATCAGATGCCAGTATTTCAAATCTGCTCTAATGCACAGTGGCATCTTGACTGTGCTGTGTGACACATGGCTGCTATGGACAGTGAGCAGCAAATTCCCAAAGGGAAACTTGGTTGTCTCCATGTTGAGATGTGCTGTCTCACTTGGCTGCTGGGATGCATTGTGCTTTAATGGTGTCTTTCATGTAATCCCATGCAGACATATTGGACCATTTCTTTAACAACATTAGTTTAATTTTATTAATGAGTTTGGTGCACTCTGGCACTTGAAAGTATTCCAGATATAGAAATACTGCATTTGTCAGAGAACAGTAGCCTCTGTACACTAGCAACATATCACAGATACAGGACCTTATTGCACTTGGAGAGGCTCTACATGGGTGCGGTTGGATGGTTTCCTTTCCCTCCACTCTTTAGAACAATTACCCCTGCACATCTGACAACAGCAGCCTACATTACAGACTCTTTGAACAACAGAAGAGACAAATATTTCTGTCTTGTCCGTAAAGAAATTGAGGCACGTGAAAGGCAGGTGACTTGTCCAGTATGATGCCATCTGGCTTTGATTTTTGTGGATGTAGAAGCACATGGTTAGTGGATTTTTAGTGTCCAGCTACCTTGATCTTTTTGCAAAGTTGGGGGAGAATATATGTGAAGCAGATTCTCCTGAGGTAGGTTGACAGAGCTTGCAGTCTTGTAATTTTGACCACAATCTTGAATATATCTGGAGATGAACAGTTCAGCTCACTTCAACAGAAAATTTTACAACTTGTATGTTTATTGTTGTTATTGTTATCATTAGTTCATTGATAAAACCCCCAGCTTAGAGAATATCAACAGGGATATCCTCAGTTTACACAGGGAAGATGAGTAATTTTTTTTAAACGCTTAGATTCATCAGTGGAAAAGTCTGTTTTCTAAGATTTATTTTCCAAAATATGAAAACAGAAAGTGAATCAGCCATTTCTAGAACTTGACAACGAGTCTGTGGCTCCTTATGGTCCAGCATATCATGGTGTGATCAGATTTTCAGTTGAAGACTTTATAAAGGCAATACAGCTCATGGGGCAGGTGTGGAATATACCTTGGTTTACAGGAGTTTCATGTGGAAACCAGTAATTTCAACCATACTGGATTAACTGGCAAAATGGGTTAACACTGGTGTAGAGCTGATTGTATAAACAGACAAAACTGTTTCCTGCTACTAGACTTTCCTGAACAAATACATGTGTATATAAAAAAATTTTCATTTAATAATTTTTAAATTATGTACTTTTTGTTGCAAAATAGTTGCCATAAAAAAGGCATATTTAACTCTTCCAGAAAGAGATGCAAAATCTCCCCAAAAGACACTTTCCTAATCACAGAATGGTTTGCGTTGGAAGGGACCTTAAAGACCATCTAGTCCCACCCCCCTGCCATAGGCAGGGACACCTTCCACTAGCCCAAATTGCCCAAAGCCCCGTCCAACCTGGCCTTGAACCCTTCTAGGGAGGGGGCAGCCACAAATTCTCTGGGCAATCTGTTCCAGTGTCTCACCACCCTCACAGGAAAGAATTTCTTCCTTAGATGTAATCTAAATCTCCCCTTTCAGTTTAAAACTGTTACCCCTCTTCCTATCCCTACACCCCCTGATGAAGAGTCCCTCCCCCCTTTCCTGTAGCCCCTTTCAGTCCTGGGAGGCCGCTCTAAGGTCTCCCCAGAGCCTTCTCTTCTCCAGCTGAACCCCCCAAATCTCTCAGCCTGTCCTCACAGGGGGGTGCTCCAGCCCCCCCAGCATCTTCATGGCCTCCTCTGGCCCCGCTCTAGCAGGTCTGTGTCCTCCTCGTGTTGGTGCCCCCAGAGCTGGACCCAGCACTGCAGGGGGGGGTCTCACGAGAGCGGAGGAGAGGGGGAGAATCCCCCTCTCGCCCTGCTGCCCACACTGCTCTGGGTGCAGCCCAGCACACGAGTGGTTTCTGGGCTGTGAGCGCACATTGCTGGCTCATGGTCAGTTTTCCATCCACTGATACCCCCAAGTCCTTCTCAGGGCTGCTCTCAGCCTGTGTTTGTGCTTGAAATTGCCCTGACCCATGGGCAGGACCTTGCCCTTGGCCCTGTTGAACTCCATGAGGTTCACACAGTCCAGCCTGTCCAGGTCCCTCTGGATGGCACATCCCTTCCCTCCAGCATGTCCCCGCACCACACAGCTCGGTGTCGTCAGCAAACTGCTGAGGGCGCCTCGATCCCACTGTCCATGTCCCCAGCAGAGATGTTAAA